TATTTTATTTTTTTTAAAATACTATCAGAATCATAAGGATTGTAGGGTTTCCTGCCTAAGCAGGGGGTTGGACTAGAAGACCTTCAAGGTCCCTTCCAACTCTATTCTATTTGGAAGAAAATTTAGAAGAATTAATGAAGTGAGTTGAGATGGGGCCATTAGGTGTCATGTTGGCCTAGAAAGATAGTATTTTTTAAAAAATAAAATAAAATCATTCACCATCATCCACACCTGTGGATTTAAATGGCTGGCTCAGGAATTCTGGGAGTTGAAGTCCACAGGTCGTAAAGTGTCCATAGTTGCCCACCGTTGATCTAATTAGAAAATTAGTTCTGAATGAATGAAACCAATAGCAGTGCTGTTTAAGACTCCCAAAGGTTTGTGGGAAGATGGTCTCAGGTATCAAAACAGAAGATATGTTCCCATGTAGAATGCAGAACAAACTCTTGATTTCAGCCGGTTCAGACTGGTTTGCCTGGAAATGGGTGGGACTGCCCAACCGCCCCACTGCCCTGGCTCTATGCCATTCTACTTAGGCATGTTTTTTAGGCTGGGCACATGCGCTGAAGGGGCACACGTGAGCAAAGCACATGCATGGAAGGCCGGGGGCATGTGCTAAAGGAAATGAAGCGAGCGGGCATGCACGGGTCAAACCAGGGATAACAAAATGTGAAACCCACTGATGGCTGTGGCCACTCATTCCCACCACCTTCTCCTTTTTCCGAACCTGGGAATTATTTCCTCTTGCCTTTCCCTTTAGGTGTGCAAGTATGACTTTGTAGAAGTGCGCAGCGGCCTCACTTCTGAAGCCAAGCTCCATGGGAAGTTTTGTGGAGCTGAGAAACCCGAGGTAATCACCTCCCAGTACAACAACATGCGCATTGAATTCAAGTCTGACAACACCGTATCCAAGAAAGGCTTCCGAGCTCAGTTCTTCTCAGGTAGAGCCACCTGTTCTCTTGAAAGCATGCCTGTCTGTCTCCCGCTTCTTTCCACTCCTGCAAACTAACCTTCCCTTTTTGAAACGATGGAGTATTTCTAAGTGTAGAGGATGCAATGCCTGATTCCTCCAAATGGAAGATGTCACATTCTTAGACCAGGAATTCCGGCCTTAGTTTTCTTGGCATAACCCCAGGAGGAAACAGTTGTGATTGCACATTGGGAAAGACATCAATGGGCAAAGTAAGGCTACTCCATTATGTTCCTTGTCCCAGCAGGTTTGCACCATAGCATCCAGCTCAAAAGTAGCTTCTTTTTCTCCTCCTCCTCCTCCTCCACCTCCACCTTCTTCTTCTTTTCCTTCTTCTCCTCTTCCTTCTCCTCCTTCTTTTTCTCCTTCTCCTCCTCGTCCCTCCTCCTCCTGCTCCTGCTCCTGCTCCTGCTGGTTCTCCATCATTGGAGGCTTTTCAGAAGAGATTAGCATAGGAACTCCTGCTTGAGCAAGGGGTTGGACTAGAACATCTCCAAGGTCCTGTCCAACTCTGTTATTCTGTGTTGCTCTTCTCTTCTCTTCTCTTCTACTCTATTCTACTCTACTCTACTCTACTCTACTCTACTCTACTCTACTCTACTCTACTCTACTCTACTCTACTCCCTTCCCTTCCATTATAAGCCCCATTTATAATGGAAGCTCAGTGCTACAGTTGGTACCAGTGCAAGTTCAAAACCCGAAAAGCCCATTTTAAGCATTGAAAGCCCCCCAACACTGTCAGTTACAAGCCACCTAACCTCTCTTTCTTAAGGCACTGCATCCTCTGGCTCCATGTTATTTAAATCTCGCTAGCTCACCAAGGCTTTAAACCCCATGGATGGACTGCAGCTTCTGCTTCTGTTATGGTCCTAGTTGCCCTTGCCTCTGTCCAATCCTTGGCTTGGTCTCGTGATGTCTTTCATTCCCCTCCCCAGAGTCCAACTGCAGGTCAATAGGACCTTCCCCAACTCTCTGCTTGCCTTGACCAACTTCGATGTAGGCTAGCTGATAAGGAAGCACCCAATTCTTTTCTTATAGATTGAACGATTTTGAAGGCTGGTTTGTTTTCTTGCAAAAATGACCGATGTGTTTATTTTTTAATTTATAAAGTTTTTTATTTTTATACATCTCATTGCATGAATGGTTTGATTCCTGGGTGTCATACTGTTCAATACAAATAAACATAACAGTATTATTCCTAATAATTACATTTCATTTTCATTTTTAGTTTTACTAAGGTATAACCTCTACTATCATCCTTCAATTCTAAACCTTCTCGTACTTCTGCCATGTCTTGTATCAACTTAACATTTGTTTTTACTATTTCCCCCGCTCTGATTTCTACCTCTATTTTAGTCCTTTCCCCTCTTTCCCTGTCATTCTAATATTCAAAGACGTGATCCTTCCTCTTTTTTCATTATTCATTATTCAGTGTGCACTTCTAGTATCACTGACGAGCTTTCAAGCAATGTATATTCATTGTTAATCACATTTTTTTACATATTTAATATTTTCCAAACCCTACAATCCTTATGATTCTGATAGTAATACACTTGTTTTCATTGAAATATGTTCTTTCTTTGTCTAATCTCAAATTACTTAATCCTAGCTTTTCACTGTTAATCACATTTTTTATACATACCGTATTTTTTGGAGTATAAGATGCATCTTTCCCCGCCCTAAAAGAGTGTGGAAATGTTGGTACATCGAATACAACCATTTTTGGCCTCCCGAAGGGCCCCCACACACACACACACCATTTTTGAAAAAAACAGGTGAGAAATGGCCCGTTTTCTGCAAAAACTGAAGCATTTTTGCCTTCCCCCAGCCCCCAGAAGCACTCTGCAGGCTTCAGCAGGGCTGGGGGCTGGGGAGGACAAAACCTTTTTTTTCTTACTTACCTTTTCGAAATCATGGTGCGTCTTATACACTGGTGCATCTTATAGTCCGAAAAATACGGTGTTTAATAATACCCTTCTACAAATTCTGTGTTTCTAATTTACAAACTATTTTTCAACCTGTATAATTCTAATAATAATAGACATTACATTACTACCTTACTAATATATATTTCAAAATGATTTCTTTGACCAATGTATTTTGTGTATTATGTGTGTGGGACATAAGAAGGAGCAAGGTTTCATCCCTCACCCCTTATCCTCCTTGCTTACAACCATGTGCAGCCAGTCTATTTTAATGCTTGCTGGGATCTGAGAAAAAGGATGTTGGGAAACCATTACCTGCTTATGTTGTCTTGTGTTTCAATGTGGTATTATTTTTGTGTCACTGCAACGAAGCACCGTCACTTTGGGAGAAACTTTTATCTAAGCAGAATTCCCTGCAGATTGATCCAGCTATAAAATAAGTGGCTGGAATTCATACCACAGAAATTGCTGAAATACCAAGTAAAAAAAATGATGATTCCTGTCTTTACGGAAATACATGCCATGTCAACAACGTTTAAAGACTAGGTAATGGCTGTTAGGAGGGACTGAGGTTAGCCATTGAGGTGGCTCAGTGGCTAGGACTCTGAGCTTGTCGATCAGAAAGATCGGCAATTCAGCAGTTTGAATCCCTAGCGCCGTGAAACGGAGTGAGCTCCCGTTACTTGTCCCAGCTTCTGCCAACCTAGCAGTTCGAAAGCACGTAAAAATGCAGGTAGAAAAAGAGGAACCACCTTTGGTGGGAAGGCAACAGCGTTCCATGCATTTTCGCCGTTGGGTCATGCCGGCCACATGACCACAGAGACGTCTTCACACAGCGCTGGCTCTTTGGCTTTGAAATGAAGATGAGCACCGCCCCCTAGAATCGGAAACGACTAGCACATATGTTTGAGGGGAACCTTAACCTTTACCTAATGGCTGCTAAGGCCTAAATTCTGAGCAGTACAGATAGTCCTCAACTTACAACAGTCTGTTTAGTGACAGACGTTACAGCACCCCTGAAAAAGGTTGCTTATGGCCATTTTTCACACTTACAACCATTGCAGCATCCCCATGGTCACATGATTGCAATTCAGTTGAAGTTACGATAGCACTGACAAGTCACTGACTTGTGACTTGTGACTGATCCTTGTACCTATGACCATCAGAGCATCTGTAATGGTGACATGATTGTGATTTGGGTGCTTGCCAATTGTTACACATTTACAAGAGTTGCAGTGATGGCCATTTATGACTTTCCCAGCCAGCTTTCAAAAAGCAAAAATAATGGGAAAGCCAGCAGAAAGTCTGAAGTCATGGTGGCCACAGGATGTCTCAGCAAGCATAGTGATTTGTTTAATGGCCATGATTAAAAAAAGATCATCCTCAACTGCCTCATTTATTGACCATTCCTCTGAATGACAAGTGTTCCCATCTCTATTGTAATCATAAGTTGAGGACTACCTACACTGCTCACTGGGGAACTTTCAGCTAGGCCAGAGATGGCAAACATTTTTGGCCCCGAGTGGCCAAACAGGAACACACATGTGCGCGCATGTCATAGCGCCGGAAACCCAAAGGCCAGCTGACTGCTGCTCATATGATCTATGGGTGCATGCGCACCGGTGCCGGCCTCCTGGTCTTTGAGTTTCTGATGCACATATGCACACTGGACATCTGGTCTTTGGGTTTTTGACACTCCAGCATGTGCAAAGACCAGCTGACCAGCACACATGCATGTGCCAGAAACCCAAAGACCAGCTGGCCGGCGCGCGCCAGAAAGCAGTAGACCATCTGGCGATGGCGCATGTGCCCACAGAGAGGCCTTTGTGTGCCACCTCTGGCATGTGCCATAGGTTCTCCATCACGGAGCTAGACCAAAAAATGATCCAGTTAGAATTGGGACATGATTTGGTTATTTTAAAATAAACACAAGGCCCTGTAACACTTGCAAAGATTCCTCCAGCAATCAAGAAGCCAGAAGATTCCTTGAATCCAATCAGCCGAGAGGATGCCAACAGCAGCAGGGTGAGTACCTCACTATCTTTTTCTTTGCCCTAGTTTAAGGTCATCATCCCTGGGCTGGGTTTTGGGAAGGGGCTTATGCACCCCTCACCTTTTCTACCCTCCTCCTCCTCCTATAGTTGCAAAGGAGGGCAAAAATAACGATGCTCTGTAAGAAGGCGGCTTACCTCTCATAGTCAACAGATCCCCCAGGGAAAGTGAGTTCACCCCACTGGATCTGTACTGGGTTTATTTAATTGGTTAGTTTATTTGTACAACCATTTTGCAGAAATATACACATTCTTCGTGTGCTCTCTTTCGTGGGGAGCGCTGTGTCAGGGTTCCAAATAGCCTCCAAAATTAAATCAGATAATTTTCTGTTTCCTTGTGGATTAGCAAAGGGCACTAATAGCACTTAGACTTATATACCGCTTTACAGTGCTTCACAGCCCCCTTTGAGCAGTTTACAGAGTTGGCCTCTCGCCCCCAACAATCTGGGTCCTCATTTTACTGACCTCTGAGTCAACTTTGAGCCAGTCAGAATCAAACTGCTGGCAGTGGGCAGAGTTAGCGGCAATACTGCATTTTAACCACTGTGTCGCCACGACTCCTGAGATCAATGCCAACAGACTCATAACGGATGAAATTGACGGCCCTGTCCCCTTTTTTTCTTTCGTTTTTAAAAAGAGGAAAGAAAATGTATCCAGAATGGAAAACAAAGTCCTTATTCCACACATTCGGCTTAAATTTTGCTAAATGTAGATTATTCTTCAGGTATGAGAAGTTGATAATAAGCCCCTGCATGTATTATACTGTGTAGTGGTGAGTTCCTGTCTAGTTTACTACCAGTTTGCTGAGAGGGCATTTTGCGCGCGGGCTGCTCGTTTTACTCACACGCGCACCCACCCCGTGTTGCTGCACATGTGCAGTTGACTGAAAACTCTTCTGCACATGCGCAGAAACGTGCTGGTGATGGCAGAAGAGACCAGGGAACTGGTTCTAGCGACCCAGGCTGCCATATCACTACTGGTTTGCCCGAACCAGT